GGGGGGGGAGGATCACCCATGACCTTGAGCTCCCGCCAGTACTGAGTTTTCTGAGATTCCCTCAGCGGCGTGCACCCACCTGGGGCGCTGTTGGGGACTGGGTGGCTTGGCTTTCTGTACTGATGTGATTCCTCACTGAGTAATACACCCATCAGGCCCTGTTCCGGGCCCTGGGCACAGACTAACCCATTTCACTCTCAAAGCTCTGTGACTGTAGGCCATGTCACCCTGTTACAAAGCAGAAGAGGAAACTGAGGCATGGGAGTTCAGTAAATGGCCCGAGTCCCCCACTCTCATGGGAGGCATTGGGAGCGCCATCCCCTGTTTCCTGGACTCCGGGGGAGGAGGGCCGGTTTCTGTCTCAGGGAGGAAAGTATTGAGTCCCGGTGTAGCCCAAAGGAGTCAGGAAACAAAGATGCCACAGTGACAGCCGGCCCCTACCACGGTCACAGGGCCTGGAGCTGATCCCAGGAGAAAGATAAACCCTAAAATCCATTATTAAGGGGGGGGGGGCNGAAGAGGTGTTGTAACTAGATTTCCATGGTGGCTGAGCAGCGAGCCTGACTTTGAACCCAGACTGAGAACGGGGCTGGGGAGGCATCCGGAGCAGCCGCGCACCGCGCTGTCCGGCCTCCTTCCCCGCCTCCAGCTGGAGCTCCTCCGGGCGGTGCTCCAGAGGGTCCAAAGCGCTGGACGGTTGGGGGGCTACAGGTAGGACCTGGTCCAACAGGTCCTCCGTTCTCTCCCCCAGGGGAGCGTCTGGCCGCCCTGCTGGTCACCCGCGCCGCCGCAGCCTTCTTTCTGGACAGAGGGGCCCAGGACCTGCTTCGGGACCTGCACGAGGCCTTCCGCGAGAGCCCCTCGGCGGCGCGGAGGCAATTCGAGGCCGTGCTCTCGGCGGGGGACCGGGAGCGCGTGCTGGCCCAGGTGCAGGAGGCCGCGGACGTGGGTTTCGCCCACTTCCAGGAGGCTGTGCGGAGCCGCCCCGAGCTCCGCCAGGACTCCGGCCGAGAGCTGCTGGCCCCGGTGACGCGCGCGCTCCGTGTCCTGCTGCGTGT